TTAGTCAAAATCGATGTATTAGATAAGTTTAGTAACCATGAACAAATACACGCCATGAAGTCGCGATGTGGTTTTCGCAATGAAAAATCCGCAATTTCAAATAAAGGGGAAAAAATTATGGGGTTCCGAAACAAGATGGTGAGGACCATGCATAAATTTTAACTCCTGCACCAGTAGTCATTACCTATGTTTCCATAGTGGTGCCCAAGTTTCGGCGGTCCAGCAATAGGGACCCGGTATAAACAACACTGTTGCTGGATTGCTGGAAGACTTTAGGATTTCCAGATTTCCAAAGATGAAAAATTTAAACTAAAAACTTTAGGATTTTCTGAATATTTGAAAAACTCCGATTTTCAAAAAGCTTCATTTCCGGTAGCTTCAGTTGATAACCTTCAAAACAAACAGTATATAATCGCAGATTTGTAAGAGCAACCTTTGCCAGGCTTTCGTTGCACCATTTTTTGATCAGATACGAGTCCAAAATTTGTTTTGCTGTAGGCCGTGCTCTTGGGTCCACGTTGAGCATAGTGTCATTCAAATACTTTTTTAGATTCCCATCGCCACTTTGCGCCATACGTACACATAGTTGCTGAAATACCGATTTGCTTTTTTAAGTTAAAACGAGGTAAGATCAAAATAGCTTTCTGGATTCATCGGCTCACTTCAGTACTAACTTAACAAGCTCTATTAGATTAAAATTGTTGTAAGACAGGGGTTTTTTTAAACGATTAGAACAAATGAAACCATCATATCGTTAACCATCCATCGAAAAGGCATTCCTCGTTCGCCCATCTGTAATGCAAATGTCCTGGGTAAACGATGCCACTTCTCATTGGGGTAATAGCAGACCATGTGAAGTACTAGCACACCTAGTGACCAAATGTCTGCAGCTGTCGAATAATTCTTGTAATTTCGTATGGTTGTAACACGTTTCAGATTGTACTGCTGCAAAAAACCATTAGTTCTACAGCGATGTTTTAATTCACTGGAAGGACTTGAATGGCACTGCCTTATCAAACGCAAGCATGCCCGCTGGAGCTTCGCTGTTCCGGAAATTTGCTGATGAGGAGCAACAACGCGATTTTGCTTCGTACCATGTTATTAAGTTATGGCAGTAACAATTTACAGTACTTACTGGATTCGTTTTCTCTGAAACAGCAACTGCTGTTGGGGGATCACAATTATTATATTACTACTACAAAGAAGATTATTTGTTGTGATAGAACCTTTTCAGCGCACATGTAATCCGGCGCACCATTCGGAGTACGACACAGTTCGGCCATACGATCGCTTGCTATGATTCGCGAATGAGCGAAATTGCCTAATTTGACAGTACCACCACGCGTCAGATAAATGTTTTCTGGCTGAACATCGCTGAAAAAAACAAACCGCGAATAAACGGACAGGGTCAACACGAATGAGCCATTCTGGGATAGAGACAAAAAAAGTGCTTGCGCGAAAAATAAGCGATCATAAGTCTGAGCATTAAGCCGAAATCAATGAGCCAAATTGAACTTGAAAGCTTCGCAAAACAGTCAATTTAAAATCATCTAATTTCTTTATTCCCTTTTATGCTTGTTAAAAATGAACTTATGTATGATGTTTGCGGAGTGAAGGTAGCTGAGTGCTCGACAAAGCTGGCGCACGATCATCGCTATGATATGAATATTCACTGGCTAAAACACACTGGTAATCAAATTATTTCGCTTGTCCACTTATCAACCTTTTTCCTGTATACTTTATCATTTTTATGCGTTTTTTGCAACAATGCAATGCAAAAAACGCATATTACCGAGAGGTTGTCTGTGTGTGTCTGTGTGTGCGCTGGGCCTCTGTACCGATTTTTCATCTCGAGACC